TTACTTTCAACCTGCCTATATCTTTATATTTGAAGTGTTTTTTGTAGACAGCATATATGGTGTCATTTTTAAGAAACTCATTCTGCCAATCTGTTTTTTTAAATATACGGAGTCTTTCATTTCCTACATTCCAAAAAATTAAAAAACTAAGTAGAATAGTATAATGAACACATATTTTCCAATTTCAACAATTATTAATTCATAAGTAATCTTACTTCACCTACAACTCCATCCAGTGCCTACCACGACCCCACCTCAGATATTTCTAATCAAATCATTTCACCCAGATTTCTTAAGAACCTAACCAAATAGTCATCAAACAGATTAACTCCTCAATATTCAATTGGTGCATCTGAATCAAGAGCTAAATAAGATCCATACGTTCCAACTGGTTGCTACCTCTCTTTTACTTTTTCTTGCTTAATTTTTTCTGATAAAGACTTTGAACATACCTTACTACTTTCAAGGTATTCATCAGGCTTTCCTCATGGACTGGATGTAAAGTAAGAGAAATCAAGATTGAACATTAAATTTTGCCTTAAAAATTCCTGTTCTATTCCTTTTGCATTGTTCTTAGTTCACTAGAGTTTATTCCTGAACTATTTACTTGTCAAGTAGTTAAAAGGGATAATCAGCTTAAGAAAAAGTCCCAAATCAATATGTCTTTTATTGCATCATTAAAATTGTAAATAGGTCTTAGGAATCATCTGGCACCTTGGTGGAGCAGGACAACTCTTAGATCTTATTTATCAGCCTGCTAAACTGTTCCTTTTTCAGAGATATAGATACCATCCCAAAATTTTCTGATATCCTTGTTTTTAACTGTTGTGGCTTGCTGAATCAAAGCAGCTGAATTTGAACCAAGCCCAGTGTCGTTTCTTTCAAGGATTAACTCATCTTTCTGGGCTTGAGGTACTGAACAAGCAACACCTGGCCTTATCTGAACCCTGTGGATATATTTTACAGGCAAGAAATTTCGTATTTCAACAAGAGAGCCATTGTTCTGGATAATGACATTGGTGGGGAAGTGAGCATACACAGACCTCATCTTGTAATGGAAGCCCAGTGTAACATCCTTGATCGTGTTCTGTGCATGACTACAAATAGTGCGAACAGTAGCCAATTCCTTTCTATTTCCCCACTATTGGTCAATCAGGAGCCTCTTCTTTTTCTTTCCAAGGAGACTGAGTTCTACATCGATGTGATCGAAGTCCCTCCTCCGGGTTCATCTGGGACCCTTCACAGTAACTGTGAGTCCCTTAAGAGTGATGTCGATGGGCCGGGTGCAGTGGCTCACCCCTGTAATCCTAGCACTCTGGGAGGCCGAGGCGGGAGCATCGTTTGAGCTCAGGAGTTCGAGACCAGCCTGAGCAAGAACAAGACCCCGTCTCTACTAAAAATAGAAAAAGAAAAAGAAATTAAATGAGCAATTAAAAATAGAAAAAATTAGCTGGGCATGGTGG